GTGGGTTTAGGCGTGGGTTTAGGCATGGGTTCAGGTGTGGGTTTAGGCGTGGGTTTGGTGTGGGTTTAGGCGTGCGTTTAACTTACCCAAAGATGTAATGCTACTAGCCTGCTAGTAGGCTGCTGCTAATGCAAAATACAGAGAATGAAAGCAAAAAAATAAAATAATAATAAATCGAAAAATCAGAACATCATTAATTATAGATCAATAATCACCATTATTTGCACACCATTATTAGACTAATATTAGTCATACAGACTCATACTGCAGTGATTACTAATTAGTGATTACTACACTTAATAGTAGTTTGTACAGTAAATACTAGTGATTTACTGACAAACAGTGTCAAGAATCAATAGGTTCTTCATTGTCACTAACACCAAACATGTGCAAGAGTCATACGGACTCATACCACCGCAGTTTCCGCATCAATAGGTTCCCTGCTGACAGCTGTTGTCACTTGCTGCTGTTACTAACATCAAACAAAGTCGACAACAATTCATGGTGTGATTTGAACAAGAACAAATGTACTGAATAGTAGGCAATGAAACTGCATACAATGAAAATCCAAATGAGACAAGATGGAACAATGCGAGCGACAGTGCACAAAGTTCCAAAAACCATTATCCATGAAGTATCATACAGGCTACAACATACAGAGTGCTACCCGAACATAGAGAATGCATACAGAGTGCCTACAAGGCTACAAGGCTACAATGGTACTCCTCTAAGGCCGCAACCCGAACATAGAGAGTACACTGAACGAGCATATGAACCTCAAACACAACAAAAATACAACGGTCCAAACTCCACGCCGAAGGCTCGATGGTGACGACACTGACGAGTCTGACGACGCCCGTGTAGGAGACTACTCTCTCTCTCAAACACAACTAAAATACAATGGGCCCGACAAAAATAGATATGCCCTTGTAGAAGACTACTCTCTCTCTCTCTCACTCTCTCTCTCATTCCCAACCCCACCCTCCTCCCCTGCGTCCCCGCCTCCACCATTACATCCATCACCTACCCCCCCCCCTGTCACTCCCCCTATGTCTCTGACTGTCTGCCTCTCTCTCTGATCGTCAGTCCCATCACGACGTGGGAATGCAGGGGTCAATCTCTGAAGTCGCCTAGCCTCTATTGCCAGCAGGACTGTACGAGCCTGTTCGCCCCTGTCAACCTGGGGCCGGGGGATGAATGGTCTCAGAGTCGAAGGAGTCAAATGTCCCTCTGCATCGAGTGCTGCCCTGCGTCTGAGTCGACGTCCTCCAGGATCAGATACATCCGCCATGCGTGAAGGTCGTGATCCATCCGCCATGTGTGCAGGTCGAGATCCATACTCCATGCGTGCAGGTCGAGATCCATCCGGTCTATAATCGGAGTCACCTGGGTCGTTGGCCCCCGTCGACTCGCCGGTCGGATGTCAGAACCGTCATCGTGTACAATGGTGAAAGCACCTCGTCTCTTCTCTCCACGACCAGCCCCCTCGGTGCGGTTGCGCCGCTCGTCCCCTGCGCTGTCGGAGTCGTCATGCACGCCTGACAATCTGCGTGAACGGCCTCCATCACCTACCTGTCCGTCCTCCGGTACACCACCATGCGCTGCAGTAACCTCCTCGTCCTGAGTGCGACCATGCACAGACTCCCTGGGTGCGGTGCCACGACGACTCGAATGTTGTGAAGACCTCTCGTGTCCGCCCTTACTCTTTGCACGCGACATACTAGCCTTCACCACCCTAGTGAAGGCAACATCTGATGTCTTCGTGACCAGCCGTCTGCCATGCTGGTCCTCATACTCACGCATCGCACCATGGTGATGACCGCCAACAGCGCCGATGGAACGTGTTCCAAAGGGCACATCTGGCATGCCGCATGCACTCCTTCCTGCCGCGGTTCCGCCATCGACTGGTGCTGCTCTCCCCCGGTCGTAAAAAGACGATGCTGCCAACCTTGGCACAGGTGGGCCAGACCCCCCCGCATGAGCTCCTCCCTGTCGCTCCTCCCTACCGCCCCTCCCGGCCGCATGTGGTGCAGAATCCATGCGCGTGGTAGATCTGTCACCAGTGCGACCGGCAGCCGACGAAGCTGGTGTAATGTCCTTCCCAGGCTCTGCGTGGCTCGCGCTGGTTGGAGGTGCCCCTGGTCGACCCTCTCCACCCGTGGTCGTCGACGGTGCTCCCACACAAGGATCCCCTCCAAGTCCACCCAATGGCGCACCCTCTCGCGCGCCGCTATCAGAAGACGCTCCGTCCAAAGAGTCAGCGAGGCTACGGTGTGGAGAGCTACGCCCGTCCCTCGTATGTGGCAGACCTCCATGGCGTGTCGTGGTCTCGGCCAAGCCTAGAGCGACCTCGTGGGGTTTCCCCACCCGAAATACGGATGGGGTTGCAGAGGCCATGGCAGACAATATCGTATCTCCACCGAACTCGTCAAACCCTCTGTCCGCTGCGTCGCGGGCGGGCCCACCCAGGAGGCCAGGGGGCGGCACGAGCGGCAACGATGGTGGAATAATCGTGTCAGCACCAAACATGCTGTCGGGGAGCGTGCCCATGCCCACCATGTTGCCTATGCGAGGAAGACTACCGTCGGGGCACGCGAGGCCGGCATCCTCGTCTCCTGCGGCCCGAGTGCTCCCACCATCGGGGCAAGGGGGCTGCACGTACGACAATGACGGTGAAATGAGGGTGCGGATGTCGGGGAGCCCATCGAGTGCAGAACCTATGGAGAGCAGGTCAGCAGTTTCGAGGAAGACTGCCGGTGGGGTGTGAGAGGCGAACATTCCCGTCTCCTAGGTCTCCCGCTGCTGGAGTGATCTCACCATCCTCCATGGAAGACACTCCTGAGATATTTGTGCGTGGTAATCCACTCGCCGCTTCGGCGCGCTGATCTACGTCCGTCATCGACGCAGGGGGACATCCTAAGTCCATCGCCTCCATCACCTCCATGCACACGTCAGCCGCGTCTATACCACCACCGAGCACCGAACTTCGTGGAAGTGGATGTGCGTCCTGCTCTGCGCCATGAACTGGACGTGCGTCCTCCTGTGCCCCGTCGGCAACCAGATGTGTCTCTCGCGCCGAGCCGGCAGGTGACAGGTGTCGCTCATCGACGGGCCCATCATTCATGGAGTCCTCGGAAACAGGGACAAGCTCAGACTCAACGGCTCGTGGACGAACGGTGGGAGGGAGGGTCCCGTGGCGGTGCCGCACACGATCGGCAATCGACTGTGTCCTCTTCGGCCCATGCCGCAATCGTACGAGGTGAGGTCTCGAGCCATGCGGGGGACTGGCCTGTCCATCCCTGCTGCCCCCGCCTTCGACAACGTCCACTCCCTCATGTTGCTCGACGTCCATAGCCACATCCACACATGTACGCTCAAGCGCTGCTCCGGTATCCTCGGCCTGTGGCCCGCGTGAGTCGCCTCCACCGTTGACAACGTCTAATCCTCTGCCATCACCTGCTGCATCTCGTGGTGCAACAGCACCTCTCCCACCAGTGCCACCACCCTGTCTCAACGATCGAGCGTCTCGACTGTCGCCCGCTCCATCATCACTATCGTCATCATCCGGACGGTCGTCGTCCGGCCTGCCGTCGTTGTCTCCGCCTCGCGGCATGGCGGTACAGAAGAAATCCTCGTCGTCGCTATCGGAGCTGTGATACAAAAAATCACCCTCGTCCCAATGCTGTCGAGGGAAACGAATAAGGTCGACCATCGCCTCATCACGCAGCCCAGGYTGCGCACTACGAGGACATATCCCGCCCGCTGATCCAYGTCCGCGTCCCCCAYGCCCACCTCGTCCACGACSASAAMGCCCCCCACGCCCACCACRCCCGCCACGACCCCGAACACGTCCACGTCGTCTCTTGTCCGATTGGACAAGGCGGCGCTCGGTGCCCATGCGAGAAACACTGCGCATCCGCTCCCTCGCCACACGCATCTCCTCCTGTGTGGCTGCCAATCTCGCTCCACTCCCCGCAACAAGTTGCTGGTCAGTGGGCAACTCGTCCTCCAAATGCTGCCAATAATGAACCCACTTCCCGAATTGATCAGGTTTGTCGTGAGGAGCGTCCTCGGTCAAAGATGGACGATCGAGAAGACGGAGGTTCCAATGGCACCGCATGAGCTTTTCAGCCCATCCAACCTCCAACTTGTTGCGAGTCTTCGAGTGGATGAAACTCCAACGGGACCAAGCTCTCTCACAGGGCGACGATGTCGTCCAAACACGCAGGATCCTCATGGCAAAGTATGCGGTGTGTGGAAACCTGCGCGACTTCGACTCCCAAAAACTGGACGGGTGCTCATAGTTCCTCATCGCTCTATCCATCGTGTCATTGTCGAAAGGCCTCTCCTTGACATGGAACTTGTCGATCGCGGTGAGCACCTCGATGTGCTGCAGAGATCCCTCGGGGTAGCCAAACTGAACCAAAACGGCAATCAACCCCTACTGCATCACATCGTCGTCCGGCATGGTGGCATCCCGAAACTCGGGATCAAGCATCATGGCCGCTATGTGCACTGGAGTACGGAACATGGTGCGCCGCCTGTCGAAAACCTCAAGGATCTCATCTTGCTCTGTCGTGGTGAGGGAGTCGCACGAGGTAAGATAGGATGCGATCATGATCTCATACCGATGCAGGACCTTGCTGATCTGCCGTGTGTCACTGTCCAGCATCTGCCGCATCTCCATGAACGGGTCCATGATCTTACACAAACGCCTCAAATTCTCCCACCATGGAGGAGACCCCACACATGTTGTGATCTCGGCGGCATCCTGACCGACCTTCTGCGTGGCCCAAACAGTGTAGCGCCACGGGTCCTCGGTAACGACCTGCATGAGATGGGTCTGCAGATCCAACGATCTCCTGATCGTGATGACGTTGGTGCCGAAACGAGTCTCTGTGGGCAGCAACAACTTCATCTTCGTCTTCTTCTCCAAAGCCTCACGTGTGTGACTGTGGCGCTTGAAGAACTTTGTGACGAGTCGCGCCTGAGCAATGCGTGATGCCACTCATCCAATCGACCCAATGTCCTCCAAGATGAGGTCCATAACATGTGCCGCACACGGAATCCAAAAAATATGTTTGACGCTTTCGTCCTCCTCGAATATCTAGATGGCGGACACGTTCACACCCGCAGAATCCGTGACAAACGCCGTGATGTCGCTGAGTTGGATATCGAGGGTCTTCAGCCTGTGCAACCATGCCTTCGCTAATGCTGGCGCGTCCTTCCTCTCCCGCATAACATCAGTGGCAAGATACGCAGGTCCCCTCTCTGTACCGACAAGGTAGTTGCACAATGTCTGACCATGGATGTTTGTCCAACCATCCGTTATAATAGTGCAACCACTCTGACGCGCGGTATCGAGCACTGGTCTCACACACCGCTCCACCTCTCCATCCAGCTCGTCCAACAACGTCGTTCGAACCATGTGATAAGTCGGGGGTTTAGGCACGGGAGCCCCGGGGACCCCAGGAGGGATGATGATTGTGAACATCCGTCTGAAGCTCTCAAGCTTCACGCAGTTTAATGGCATGTCACTCTCCACGATGAACCGCATGATCGTCATGTGCCATGCACGCTCTCTAGGGTCAGAATAATACGAGGTGACCGCCTGCTGCTTGTATGTGCCCCTCCCTCGTGCGACTGTACCAGATGCAGTCATGTCAAACAAACGAGCTGGACTCGCCGGTACAGCGGCCTATGGAAGTGGAATGTTGCGTAGCCGCTCCATAGGATCCAAATCCCCTGCGAGCACACCAGCGAATGTGGGGGCAGTCTCGGCAGCAGGCGTGGGCGAAGAGTCAGATAGTGCAATTGGTGGGGGCGGACCCGCGCCCTCTGCCGCCTGAGTCGATGGTGGATGCGTGCTAGCCGCAGTCCCCTGCACATCCTGGTGCGGTGGTGGGTGCGACTGAGGGGCAACTGAACGCGGAGGACGAGGAGGAGACCACCGCGACGTAGGTACCGCGCTTGTGCGCTGTGGCGCCCGCGAGTCAGCCGCTGCCAAAGATGGAGCTGAACGTGGAGGTCGAGGTAGAGACCACCGAGCCGTGGCTGCCGCAGCTGTGCCTCGGTCACCCGCAAGAGGAGCTCCTGCTGCAGCCGATGCTCTGGCCGCAGTAGTCGTGAACATAGGATGCAATTGAACCGACGGAGAGACACGGTGGCCCTCGAGCGAAGCAGGTGGCAATCTCGTTGCCTCTGCCGACGGCACCGCGGTCCCTACAAGTACCGGCGGTGGGACTGCACCGACCGACGGTCCTCCCGCCACAGGTGCCGGAACCGGTGCACCAACTGCACCGCCAGACGGCCCTGCCTCACTAGCAAGCGACCGACGAGGCTCCGAGTCCTCTGGGAATAAAAGTGTCGGCCACTGGAATGCCGGAGCGCCAGGAGGGAGCCTCTTCAACTCCTCGATCGAGGCAACAAAGTCCTTCGGACACTTGTCCATGTTCTTTGCCCATATGGTATTATACACAGCAGGGGTCCCCGCCGGGCATCTGAACTCCTTGCTTTTGAAGAATTGTTCCTTTGCTTCTCTACTGCCCCCACAAATGGATTTCCCGCACAATCTGCAGACACATCGTCGACCACTCTTCCTCCCCACCGCCGTCTCGGGGTACAAGTATCGACCACGTGCAACAAAATGCCACACAGGGTCATCACGTTTGGCATCCACACCAGCATCAATCTTGAATGGAGAGTCGAAAGTCTTCGAGTTGTGTCCCTTTCTTGTACCACTCTCACTTGTTGCCGTGGCCTGGTCGGTGGCCACTTGCTCCTTGCTAGTGTTCCACGTCATGATGTCACAACCGCAGCGTGTGACAACAAAGAGTCGCGAAGCGTACTTGCGTCACGATAGACAGCAGTGGCCTTGAATAAATGAATCGATGATGAAGCACTAGGACTGTTTGACAAGGACAAAGCACAAAACGACAACGGCAAAACATGGACAAAGCACAAAATGACAATGACCTTTTTTTTTTTGGTTAACCAAAAAAAAAAAAAAAAAATTTAGGAAGCCCTTGTTTTTATTTTATTTTATTTTTTTGATGTTGGGTCTGCCAAACTTTGCAGTTTCCCGCTTTTACATCCCTTAGGGCCCTTAGGTGCCTTACACCCCTTGAAGCCGTTTTACACCCCTTGAAGCCCTTTTTTTTTTTTTTTTTTTAAGTTGGGTTTGCCCAACTTTGCAGTTTCCCGCTTTGCAGTTTCCCGCTTTGGCACCCCTATGGCCTCTTCGCCCCTCATTACCCCACTCCCCTAAAGAACGTTTACAGTTTCCCGCTTTTACACCCCTTAGGGCCCTTAAGCGCCTTACACCCCTTGAAGCCGTTTTACACCCCTTGAAGCCCTTTGTTTTTGTTTTTTTAAGTTGGGTTTGCCCAACTTTGCAGTTCCCCGCTTTGGCACCCCTAAGGCCTCTTGGCCTCTTGGCCCCTCATTACCCCACCCCCTAAGAACGTTTACAGTTTCCCGCTTTTACACCCCTTAGGGCCCTTAGGTGCCTTACACCCCTTGAAGCCGTTTTACACCCCTTGAAGCCCTTTGTTTTTTTTTTTATTAAGTTGGGTTTGCCCAACTTTGTAGTTTCCTGCATTTACACCCCTTAGGGCCCTTAGGGGTGTAACTAACCCACCCATATTGCCGTTTGTTTTTTTTTTTTTTTTTTTTTGGAAACAATGTTTACCGTTTCCCGCTTTGGCACCCCTTAGGCCTCTTCGCCTCTCCATGTATCCCACTTTTGCACCCCTTAGGGCCCTTGGCCCTTTGTTACCGAACCGTATATATATATATATATAAATATATATATATATATTTTAAGTTGGGTTTGCCCAGCTTTGCAGTTTCCTGCATTTACCCTTAGGGGCGTTACTAACCCACCCATATTGCCGTTTGTTGTAATTTGTTTTTTTTTTTTTGGTAAGCAAGGTTTACCGTTTCCCGCTTTGGCACCCCTAAGGCCTCTTTGGCCCCTCATTACCCCACCCCCTAAGAACGTTTGCAGTTTCCCGCTTTTACACCCCTTAGGGCCCTTAGGTGCCTTACACCCCTTGAAGCCGTTTTACACCCCTTAAAGCCCTTTGTTTTTTTTTTTTTAAGTTGGGTTTGCCCAACCTTGCGGTTTCCTGCATTTACACCCCTCAGGGCCCTTAGGGGCGTTACTAACCCACCCATATTGCCGTTTGTTGTAAGTTTTTTTTTTTTTTGGAAGCAATGTTTACCGTTTCCCGCTTTGGCACCCCTAAGGCCTCTTGGCCTCTCCATGTTTCCCACTTTTGCACCCCTTAGGGCCCTTGGGCCCTTGTTACCAAACCGTATATATATATATCGTCACAAATAGAACTGCCCAGTAAACCGTAGGCAGAGAGAGAGAAGAGGACAGCAAACGAGGGGCTGTGACAAACTGTTTCGTCGGAGTTTATATATATATATATATATAAAAGTTGGGTTTGCCCAACTTTGCAGTTTCCTGCATTTACACCCCTTAGGGCCCTTAGGGGCGTTACTAACCCACCCATATTGCCGTTTATTGTGTTTTTTTTTTTTTTTGGGAAGCACGGTTCACTGTTTCCCGCTTTGGCACCCCTAAGGCCTCTTGGCCCCTCATTACCCCACCCCGTAAGAACGTTTGCAGTTTCCCGCTTTTACACCCCTTAGGGCCCTTAGGTGCCTTACCAACCCACCCATACATCACCCCTTCCCCGCGAAGCCCAAAAAACCTTGAAGCCGTTTTTTTTCTGTTTTTTTTTTTTTTTGTGGGATGGCGGGTTTAACGTCTCCCGGTTTTGCACCCGCTAGGGCGTAGGGCCGTTGGCCCCTTATTACCCCACCCATAAAGAACCCCTCCCCCCCCCCCC